TTTTTTTTTTTTTTTTTTTTTTTTTTTTTTTTTTTCGGGAGGGAAGGGGAGGGTCAGGGAGGGGGAAGGGTGTGGAAGACGAGAGGGGGACGGATGCAATCAATTTTTTTATTCTGAAAATTAAAAGTTGGCTTTTTTATAGAAAAGATACACAGCATTCATTAGTTGGCCTTGGTAATACAGAATCTAAAAAATCGGTGTTCTCTTTTTTCTGCTCTAGTCGTTGTCTAAATAATCATTTTAATTTTTTTTTCGAATTTATTTCGTAAGACTTCTGTCACTTCTCGTTCGCCTTCATTTTTTTTCAGCGAAAAGAAATGGAAGAACTTGATTGTTTTTAGTTGATTATATAACTATTGTTTGGGTTTCTTTAGGTTCGTTGCTTTTGTTTTGTTCTTTTTTTTTTCAAAATTAATTTTATTAAAAAGTGGTAGTCGGTAAATGTTCGGTGATTTTGATTGCATGTTTAATCGTTCTGTATGGTTGTCTGTTCTTTGAACCATTTTCCATTGGTGTGTACTTTGTTCAGAAATTCAAAAAGAATAAAATTATTTTTGTATTGTTATATTATTTTTACCTTGCTTTTTACCTTGGTCTTTGTTTTATTTGCTTTTAGAGTAAACCAATGTTTGAACCGTATTTTATCACTACATTTTTCGTTCTCGCCATAACTGTTATAGCCTTCTTTTTCGCCTCTTCATTTCGGTTTTTTTAAGGTTACTTAGCTTTTACTTCACTGTATTTCTTGTTTTTTAGCATTTGGCTTTTCACAGGAACAAAAAGTTACCTGATGACTGTAGTATTTTATGATAGTTGCTTTGTATGTACTATTGTACCGTCTTATTTTGGGTTTTATTTATTATTTTTATTACTTTTTCTTCCTCATTCGATTGAGAAGAGCACTTGTGGATTTAATATTTTAGGATTTGTGCTTTGTATGTTACTGGGTAAAGTAATAGTAGAAAGCGTTTGTGGTATGATGATCATTTGGTGCCAACATTACACGACGTCTCAAAGTCTTCATTTGCACACTGTTAAGCCGTTTAAGATGTCTCATTGCTAAATGTAGCTCTTTTTAAAACTATCCATTGTTCTGTTTTTGTATGTGAATATTAGTTTTTGAGTTGTGCTATCTTTTGAACAGATAAAAATCTATGAAGTTTTGTTTATTTTGTTTAAAAAATGATTTATTAATGGACTGAGTCGGACGGGATGACAGTCAAAATAAGATTTTATATGAAAGTTTTGAGTTTTTAAATATATTTTTTTGCATTTTGCATTTTTAAACCATGCTGATCTGCAGTTTAAAAATACTGAAAATGAAG